ACAATATCCTTTCCTATAAGTACAAAGATGGCCACCGAGACCGATCTTCTTTGAAAATGTCCTCAACTACATCCTTTTAACATGAAGATGGCTAAAGAGCCCAGTCTTCACTTTTAAAATTCCTACATTAATCATTCCTATGAACACGAAGATGGCTAAGGAGTCCAGTCTTCGCTTTTAAAATTCCTCCGTTAATCATTCCTATAAACACGAAGATGGCTAAAGAGTCCAGTCTTCGCTTTTTAAAATTCCTGCATTAATCATTCCTATAAACACGAAGATGGCTAAGGAATCCAGTCTTCGCTTTTAAAATTCCTCCGTTAATCATTCCTATAAACACGAAGATGGCTAAAGAGTCCAGTCTTCGCTTTTTAAAATTCCTGCATTAATCATTCCTATAAACACGAAGATGGCTAAGGAGTCCAGTCTTCGCTTTTTAAATTCCTCCGTTAATCATTCCTATAAACACGAAGATGGCTAAAGAGTCCGGTCTACGCTTTTGAAAAGTCCTAAGCTAAACATAGTAAAGTCATCAATTAAATGTGTTTTCTCCGCAACTATTTAGTTGGTCTGCAAGGGCAAATGTTGATTAAGTGTGCGTTGCATCACGAGCGGCGATATTTTCTTTGATGGACAGGTTCATATGTTCCTTGAGTGTGACTTAATTATTGTTACAAACCTTCCATCGGAATATAAATGAAGACGTCTAACACAGTTATACATCCGTATGAATTTCTTTTTTAAGCACTCAAAGACCATGATTTCACTGGGAATTGCAAATACATTTTGATCACCACATTAAGTGCAGAGATGAAAACCTGCGAATAATCACACATTTGTACACAAATGTTTGTAGATATCCTCATTACAATTAAATAAAGATGTTTCAAAACATCACTGGTTACATCGCTTCACAATGTCTCATTGGATGAGACACAAATGTTTGTAGATATCCTCATTACAATTAAATAAAGATGTTTCAAAACATTACTGGTTACATCGCTTCACAATGTCTCATTGGATGAGAGATGTGCGTGATACAAATGACAATCCCAACTGTTCCTGCACAATCCTCATATATCTGATGGCTTATATTTTCATCCTTTTTTTTTTAACTCTTGTTTTGCAAACGTGCATCAGTTGAATAGTTGGAGCCCAATAAAAAGTTTCAGGCTTGCTTTTTTCACTGACTCCTGTTTTGAGCTTGTTGACCTACAGCTTCATCGTGATAAACTGACTGCAACGAATTTTTACGATGGCGTCGTGTTAGATCTCTGGAAGGTGGTCTACAAGCATCCGGTTTGAGGGCTGAATCAGCCTCACAAACTTCGCACTCAACTAATGTCGAATGGGTTGAATCAGCGTCAAAGCTTGCACTCAACTAATTATGTCCCAACTATTATTCAACTGAACTAGCCGGTTATTTTTCAAACTCATTCTTCTATGATTTTTTTTGAATGCCTCTTAACATTCCAAGTTATGATGATGCTTTGTCCAAGGCATTGTAGCACGTGAAAAAAAGCAAAACAAGAAAAAGGATGTGCACTGTTGGGTTGTCTACAAATGCACAGACATAACCAACAATTTCGTCTTGGATCAACAATTCAATTGATGACTATATTACTACATCTAGTCCTCAGCTAAAAATCCTCAATTTTTCAAAAATTAATACAATATCCTTTCCTATAAGTACAAAGATGGCCACCGAGACCGATCTTCTTTGAAAATGTCCTCAACTACATCCTTTTAACATGAAGATGGCTAAAGAGCCCAGTCTTCACTTTTAAAATTCCTACATTAATCATTCCTATAAACACGAAGATGGCTAAGGAGTCCAGTCTTCGCTTTTAAAATTCCTCCGTTAATCATTCCTATAAACACGAAGATGGCTAAAGAGTCCAGTCTTCGCTTTTTAAAATTCCTGCATTAATCATTCCTATAAACACGAAGATGGCTAAGGAGTCCAGTCTTCGCTTTTAAAATTCCTCCGTTAATCATTCCTATAAACACGAAGATGGCTAAAGAGTCCAGTCTTCGCTTTTTAAAATTCCTGCATTAATCATTCCTATAAACACGAAGATGGCTAAGGAGTCCAGTCTTCGCTTTTTAAATTCCTCCGTTAATCATTCCTATAAACACGAAGATGGCTAAAGAGTCCGGTCTACGCTTTTGAAAAGTCCTAAGCTAAACATAGTAAAGTCATCAATGAAATGTGTTTTCTCCGCAACTATTTAGTTGGTCTGCAAGGGCAAATGTTGATTAAGTGTGCGTTGCATCACGAGCGGCGATATTTTCTTTGATGGACAGGTTCATATGTTCCTTGAGTGTGACTTAATTATTGTTACAAACCTTCCATCGGAATATAAATGAAGACGTCTAACACAGTTATACATCCGTATGAATTTCTTTTTTAAGCACTCAAAGACCATGATTTCACTGGGAATTGCAAATACATTTTGATCACCACATTAAGTGCAGAGATGAAAACCTGCGAATTATCACACATTTGTACACAAATGTTTGTAGATATCCTCATTACAATTAAATAAAGATGTTTCAAAACATCACTGGTTACATCGCTTCACAATGTCTCATTGGATGAGACACAAATGTTTGTAGATATCCTCATTACAATTAAATAAAGATGTTTCAAAACATTACTGGTTACATCGCTTCACAATGTCTCATTGGATGAGAGATGTGCGTGATACAAATGACAATCCCAACTGTTCCTGCACAATCCTCATATATCTGATGGCTTATATTTTCATCCTTTTTTTTTTTAACTCTTGTTTTGCAAACGTGCATCAGTTGAATAGTTGGAGCCCAATAAAAAGTTTCAGGCTTGCTTTTTTCACTGACTCCTGTTTTGAGCTTGTTGACCTACAGCTTCATCGTGATAAACTGACTGCAACGAATTTTTACGATGGCGTCGTGTTAGATCTCTGGAAGGTGGTCTACAAGCATCCGGTTTGAGGGCTGAATCAGCCTCACAAACTTCGCACTCAACTAATGTCGAATGGGTTGAATCAGCGTCAAAGCTTGCACTCAACTAATTATGTCCCAACTATTATTCAACTGAACTAGCCGGTTATTTTTCAAACTCATTCTTCTATGATTTTTTTTGAATGCCTCTTAACATTCCAAGTTATGATGATGCTTTGTCCAAGGCATTGTAGCACGTGAAAAAAAGCAAAACAAGAAAAAGGATGTGCACTGTTGGGTTGTCTACAAATGCACAGACATAACCAACAATTTCGTCTTGGATCAACAATTCAATTGATGACTATATTACTACATCTAGTCCTCAGCTAAAAATCCTCAATTTTTCAAAAATTAATACAATATCCTTTCCTATAAGTACAAAGATGGCCACCGAGACCGATCTTCTTTGAAAATGTCCTCAACTACATCCTTTTAACATGAAGATGGCTAAAGAGCCCAGTCTTCACTTTTAAAATTCCTACATTAATCATTCCTATGAACACGAAGATGGCTAAGGAGTCCAGTCTTCGCTTTTAAAATTCCTCCGTTAATCATTCCTATAAACACGAAGATGGCTAAAGAGTCCAGTCTTCGCTTTTTAAAATTCCTGCATTAATCATTCCTATAAACACGAAGATGGCTAAGGAGTCCAGTCTTCGCTTTTAAAATTCCTCCGTTAATCATTCCTATAAACACGAAGATGGCTAAAGAGTCCAGTCTTCGCTTTTTAAAATTCCTGCATTAATCATTCCTATAAACACGAAGATGGCTAAGGAGTCCAGTCTTCGCTTTTTAAATTCCTCCGTTAATCATTCCTATAAACACGAAGATGGCTAAAGAGTCCGGTCTACGCTTTTGAAAAGTCCTAAGCTAAACATAGTAAAGTCATCAATTAAATGTGTTTTCTCCGCAACTATTTAGTTGGTCTGCAAGGGCAAATGTTGATTAAGTGTGCGTTGCATCACGAGCGGCGATATTTTCTTTGATGGACAGGTTCATATGTTCCTTGAGTGTGACTTAATTATTGTTACAAACCTTCCATCGGAATATAAATGAAGACGTCTAACACAGTTATACATCCGTATGAATTTCTTTTTTAAGCACTCAAAGACCATGATTTCACTGGGAATTGCAAATACATTTTGATCACCACATTAAGTGCAGAGATGAAAACCTGCGAATTATCACACATTTGTACACAAATGTTTGTAGATATCCTCATTACAATTAAATAAAGATGTTTCAAAACATCACTGGTTACATCGCTTCACAATGTCTCATTGGATGAGACACAAATGTTTGTAGATATCCTCATTACAATTAAATAAAGATGTTTCAAAACATTACTGGTTACATCGCTTCACAATGTCTCATTGGATGAGAGATGTGCGTGATACAAATGACAATCCCAACTGTTCCTGCACAATCCTCATATATCTGATGGCTTATATTTTCATCCTTTTTTTTTTTAACTCTTGTTTTGCAAACGTGCATCAGTTGAATAGTTGGAGCCCAATAAAAAGTTTCAGGCTTGCTTTTTTCACTGACTCCTGTTTTAAGCTTGTTGACCTACAGCTTCATCGTGATAAACTGACTGCAACGAATTTTTACGATGGCGTCGTGTTAGATCTCTGGAAGGTGGTCTACAAGCATCCGGTTTGAGGGCTGAATCAGCCTCACAAACTTCGCACTCAACTAATGTCGAATGGGTTGAATCAGCGTCAAAGCTTGCACTCAACTAATTATGTCCCAACTATTATTCAACTGAACTAGCCGGTTATTTTTCAAACTCATTCTTCTATGATTTTTTTTGAATGCCTCTTAACATTCCAAGTTATGATGATGCTTTGTCCAAGGCATTGTAGCACGTGAAAAAAAGCAAAACAAGAAAAAGGATGTGCACTGTTGGGTTGTCTACAAATGCACAGACATAACCAACAATTTCGTCTTGGATCAACAATTCAATTGATGACTATATTACTACATCTAGTCCTCAGCTAAAAATCCTCAATTTTTCAAAAATTAATACAATATCCTTTCCTATAAGTACAAAGATGGCCACCTAGACCGATCTTCTTTGAAAATGTCCTCAACTACATCCTTTTAACATGAAGATGGCTAAAGAGCCCAGTCTTCACTTTTAAAATTCCTACATTAATCATTCCTATGAACACGAAGATGGCTAAGGAGTCCAGTCTTCGCTTTTAAAATTCCTCCGTTAATCATTCCTATAAACACGAAGATGGCTAAAGAGTCCAGTCTTCGCTTTTTAAAATTCCTGCATTAATCATTCCTATAAACACGAAGATGGCTAAGGAGTCCAGTCTTCGCTTTTAAAATTCCTCCGTTAATCATTCCTATAAACACGAAGATGGCTAAAGAGTCCAGTCTTCGCTTTTTAAAATTCCTGCATTAATCATTCCTATAAACACGAAGATGGCTAAGGAGTCCAGTCTTCGCTTTTAAAATTCCTCCGTTAATCATTCCTATAAACACGAAGATGGCTAAAGAGTCCAGTCTTCGCTTTTTAAAATTCCTGCATTAATCATTCCTATAAACACGAAGATGGCTAAGGAGTCCAGTCTTCGCTTTTTAAATTCCTCCGTTAATCATTCCTATAAACACGAAGATGGCTAAAGAGTCCGGTCTACGCTTTTGAAAAGTCCTAAGCTAAACATAGTAAAGTCATCAATGAAATGTGTTTTCTCCGCAACTATTTAGTTGGTCTGCAAGGGCAAATGTTGATTAAGTGTGCGTTGCATCACGAGCGGCGATATTTTCTTTGATGGACAGGTTCATATGTTCCTTGAGTGTGACTTAATTATTGTTACAAACCTTCCATCGGAATATAAATGAAGACGTCTAACACAGTTATACATCCGTATGAATTTCTTTTTTAAGCACTCAAAGACCATGATTTCACTGGGAATTGCAAATACATTTTGATCACCACATTAAGTGCAGAGATGAAAACCTGCGAATTATCACACATTTGTACACAAATGTTTGTAGATATCCTCATTACAATTAAATAAAGATGTTTCAAAACATCACTGGTTACATCGCTTCACAATGTCTCATTGGATGAGACACAAATGTTTGTAGATATCCTCATTACAATTAAATAAAGATGTTTCAAAACATTACTGGTTACATCGCTTCACAATGTCTCATTGGATGAGAGATGTGCGTGATACAAATGACAATCCCAACTGTTCCTGCACAATCCTCATATATCTGATGGCTTATATTTTCATCCTTTTTTTTTTTAACTCTTGTTTTGCAAACGTGCATCAGTTGAATAGTTGGAGCCCAATAAAAAGTTTCAGGCTTGCTTTTTTCACTGACTCCTGTTTTGAGCTTGTTGACCTACAGCTTCATCGTGATAAACTGACTGCAACGAATTTTTACGATGGCGTCGTGTTAGATCTCTGGAAGGTGGTCTACAAGCATCCGGTTTGAGGGCTGAATCAGCCTCACAAACTTCGCACTCAACTAATGTCGAATGGGTTGAATCAGCGTCAAAGCTTGCACTCAACTAATTATGTCCCAACTATTATTCAACTGAACTAGCCGGTTATTTTTCAAACTCATTCTTCTATGATTTTTTTTGAATGCCTCTTAACATTCCAAGTTATGATGATGCTTTGTCCAAGGCATTGTAGCACGTGAAAAAAAGCAAAACAAGAAAAAGGATGTGCACTGTTGGGTTGTCTACAAATGCACAGACATAACCAACAATTTCGTCTTGGATCAACAATTCAATTGATGACTATATTACTACATCTAGTCCTCAGCTAAAAATCCTCAATTTTTCAAAAATTAATACAATATCCTTTCCTATAAGTACAAAGATGGCCACCGAGACCGATCTTCTTTGAAAATGTCCTCAACTACATCCTTTTAACATGAAGATGGCTAAAGAGCCCAGTCTTCACTTTTAAAATTCCTACATTAATCATTCCTATGAACACGAAGATGGCTAAGGAGTCCAGTCTTCGCTTTTAAAATTCCTCCGTTAATCATTCCTATAAACACGAAGATGGCTAAAGAGTCCAGTCTTCGCTTTTTAAAATTCCTGCATTAATCATTCCTATAAACACGAAGATGGCTAAGGAGTCCAGTCTTCGCTTTTAAAATTCCTCCGTTAATCATTCCTATAAACACGAAGATGGCTAAAGAGTCCAGTCTTCGCTTTTTAAAATTCCTGCATTAATCATTCCTATAAACACGAAGATGGCTAAGGAGTCCAGTCTTCGCTTTTTAAATTCCTCCGTTAATCATTCCTATAAACACGAAGATGGCTAAAGAGTCCGGTCTACGCTTTTGAAAAGTCCTAAGCTAAACATAGTAAAGTCATCAATGAAATGTGTTTTCTCCGCAACTATTTAGTTGGTCTGCAAGGGCAAATGTTGATTAAGTGTGCGTTGCATCACGAGCGGCGATATTTTCTTTGATGGACAGGTTCATATGTTCCTTGAGTGTGACTTAATTATTGTTACAAACCTTCCATCGGAATATAAATGAAGACGTCTAACACAGTTATACATCCGTATGAATTTCTTTTTTAAGCACTCAAAGACCATGATTTCACTGGGAATTGCAAATACATTTTGATCACCACATTAAGTGCAGAGATGAAAACCTGCGAATTATCACACATTTGTACACAAATGTTTGTAGATATCCTCATTACAATTAAATAAAGATGTTTCAAAACATCACTGGTTACATCGCTTCTCAATGTCTCATTGGATGAGACACAAATGTTTGTAGATATCCTCATTACAATTAAATAAAGATGTTTCAAAACATTACTGGTTACTTCGCTTCACAATGTCTCATTGGATGAGAGATGTGCGTGATACAAATGACAATCCCAACTGTTCCTGCACAATCCTCATATATCTGATGGCTTATATTTTCATCCTTTTTTTTTTTAACTCTTGTTTTGCAAACGTGCATCAGTTGAATAGTTGGAGCCCAATAAAAAGTTTCAGGCTTGCTTTTTTCACTGACTCCTGTTTTGAGCTTGTTGACCTACAGCTTCATCGTGATAAACTGACTGCAACGAATTTTTACGATGGCGTCGTGTTAGATCTCTGGAAGGTGGTCTACAAGCATCCGGTTTGAGGGCTGAATCAGCCTCACAAACTTCGCACTCAACTAATGTCGAATGGGTTGAATCAGCGTCAAAGCTTGCACTCAACTAATTATGTCCCAACTATTATTCAACTGAACTAGCCGGTTATTTTTCAAACTCATTCTTCTATGATTTTTTTTGAATGCCTCTTAACATTCCAAGTTATGATGATGCTTTGTCCAAGGCATTGTAGCACGTGAAAAAAAGCAAAACAAGAAAAAGGATGTGCACTGTTGGGTTGTCTACAAATGCACAGACATAACCAACAATTTCGTCTTGGATCAACAATTCAATTGATGACTATATTACTACATCTAGTCCTCAGCTAAAAATCCTCAATTTTTCAAAAATTAATACAATATCCTTTCCTATAAGTACAAAGATGGCCACCGAGACCGATCTTCTTTGAAAATGTCCTCAACTACATCCTTTTAACATGAAGATGGCTAAAGAGCCCAGTCTTCACTTTTAAAATTCCTACATTAATCATTCCTATGAACACGAAGATGGCTAAGGAGTCCAGTCTTCGCTTTTAAAATTCCTCCGTTAATCATTCCTATAAACACGAAGATGGCTAAAGAGTCCAGTCTTCGCTTTTTAAAATTCCTGCATTAATCATTCCTATAAACACGAAGATGGCTAAGGAGTCCAGTCTTCGCTTTTAAAATTCCTCCGTTAATCATTCCTATAAACACGAAGATGGCTAAAGAGTCCAGTCTTCGCTTTTTAAAATTCCTGCATTAATCATTCCTATAAACACGAAGATGGCTAAGGAGTCCAGTCTTCGCTTTTTAAATTCCTCCGTTAATCATTCCTATAAACACGAAGATGGCTAAAGAGTCCGGTCTACGCTTTTGAAAAGTCCTAAGCTAAACATAGTAAAGTCATCAATTAAATGTGTTTTCTCCGCAACTATTTAGTTGGTCTGCAAGGGCAAATGTTGATTAAGTGTGCGTTGCATCACGAGCGGCGATATTTTCTTTGATGGACAGGTTCATATGTTCCTTGAGTGTGACTTAATTATTGTTACAAACCTTCCATCGGAATATAAATGAAGACGTCTAACACAGTTATACATCCGTATGAATTTCTTTTTTAAGCACTCAAAGACCATGATTTCACTGGGAATTGCAAATACATTTTGATCACCACATTAAGTGCAGAGATGAAAAACCTGCGAATTATCACACATTTGTACACAAATGTTTGTAGATATCCTCATTACAATTAAATAAAGATGTTTCAAAACATCACTGGTTACATCGCTTCACAATGTCTCATTGGATGAGACACAAATGTTTGTAGATATCCTCATTACAATTAAATAAAGATGTTTCAAAACATTACTGGTTACTTCGCTTCACAATGTCTCATTGGATGAGAGATGTGCGTGATACAAATGACAATCCCAACTGTTCCTGCACAATCCTCATATATCTGATGGCTTATATTTTCATCCTTTTTTTTTTTAACTCTTGTTTTGCAAACGTGCATCAGTTGAATAGTTGGAGCCCAATAAAAAGTTTCAGGCTTGCTTTTTTCACTGACTCCTGTTTTGAGCTTGTTGACCTACAGCTTCATCGTGATAAACTGACTGCAACGAATTTTTACGATGGCGTCGTGTTAGATCTCTGGAAGGTGGTCTACAAGCATCCGGTTTGAGGGCTGAATCAGCCTCACAAACTTCGCACTCAACTAATGTCGAATGGGTTGAATCAGCGTCAAAGCTTGCACTCAACTAATTATGTCCCAACTATTATTCAACTGAACTAGCCGGTTATTTTTCAAACTCATTCTTCTATGATTTTTTTTGAATGCCTCTTAACATTCCAAGTTATGATGATGCTTTGTCCAAGGCATTGTAGCACGTGAAAAAAAGCAAAACAAGAAAAAGGATGTGCACTGTTGGGTTGTCTACAAATGCACAGACATAACCAACAATT